GGGGGGGGGGCTCGGGGGGTACTGATTAGCTGTCACTTCAGTCTTATTTTCATATTTTGCCTTCGGGTTCTTTTATTTTCTGCATAATATCCCCTCTCTACTGTTAGTATGTAATAAAGTGTCACTGGTCCAACATTCGTCTTATCCTTGACCTAAATTTGCACCAATGCGCACGTGCATTCTTGTTCTCGGTTCATTTTGCCACCGCAGCCACATAATCATTACATTTACGAGTATACATGTCATATATAAGGAGCTATCTAAAATCTATGATGTGAAATCTTCTAGCTGGTTATTTATCAATGTATGTAAAGGCAAATTTAAATGGAAATGTGGTTATTTTTTGCAATGGAAAAATTTGTGGTCTGGTCTACATTGTCATGATTGAAGGGAGGTAACTACAAAAGAAAACCCACGTGTGTCTTTATCCTCCTCAGTTTCTGTAAATAAAGAAGAGTCCACAAACTAATTTGCTAAGTAGTAACTCTTTGAAGTGAACATTAGAAGATATTTTTCTAGTAGGCGTCTACTGTTGTCTATGCCCAAGTCAATTCTCTTCAAAATTCAAAGATAAAGAATAGTTTTTATCTTACATTTGAGATTTACCGCGCATTTCCGGTATTGGTTGACATTTCACACGACCCAAATTCAGCCCACTTATAAAATACAAGTCTCGCTTCAACAACTATATAATGGATCAAATACCAGCCGCCATGGATAGGCATTTAGACGTTCTTCAATGTCACGCAGGTAAGTCATACCAGTTTGAAGTAAATGAAGATAGAATTATAGTTTTGACAGCTTGAGTTTGACATGCTATGTTGTTGTGAACATTGTTATCAAATCACTATAATAATAGTGCACTTGCATTGTCTTGCTTTTTGCACAAATGTAGGCCTACTCATCATATTTTTTTAAAAAAAGAAATGAATATGATAAACACCTCATCATTGTCAATAATGACAATGGCTTTAGTTGGGTATAGCCTAGTAAATTTAGTAATCTTACTATTGATAGGTAATTATGTCAGATATTCCAAGCAAGGCAGTGAACAGGTAATGCCTGCACTACTGTCTGACTACAACTGCAGACTCATTTCTGTGTGTTTTCTAATGGCACTGTACACTGCAGATCCATTTCTGTGTACTTTCTAATGGTACTGTACCTTTAATTATTTGAGAGAGAAAGAGAGAGAGGGAGGAGAGAGAGAGAGGATATTATTGTATGATATGATTTTTAATTAGATATTGTATAAATCTAAATTGTATCTAACTAAGAATTTGAAAGTTGTATAAATTGGTAACAGCTTCTGCTTGTTTCTGAAACCATAGTTTATAATATATAAATATGTATAATTTGTTAAGTTTAGAATAAATATTTTGTTTGAAAAAATCACTGCAAACCAAGACTCTCAATTTGCCCACCGTTTTAATTTGTATATAATTTTGAACTTTAAAATACTAGTTAGCAACTAGGAGTATTGTTAAGATTACCTTTCTAACTCTGGATTGATAAAAATGCACAGCAATTTAGAATTATTTGGGTCATTTCAAGGGAAATTTCTGGGTGGAAATGGTGTCTCCTTATATCAAAATAGTTTGAGACCAATTGCATGCAATTTTATTCTGAATATTTATGAAATAACAGAAAGAAATCACTGTGATCTGAGTGGATGAATCTAACTGAAATTATCAAATAAAACCATATATTTGATCACAGACCCAAAAATATAAAAATTGTGCTGAAGGCTACATGGATTTATATCTTTTAAAATGAACATGCCTCTTTAATTACAGAAATTTTTCAGTCACACCTACATGACACATGTTTCTTTTTATATACAAAATTATTTCTATTAATAAATTTCTGAATGCGGAAGATGAACAATGCCAGTGAATATCAGGATATCACAATATTTATAACACTCTAGTTCATAGTGCTGTTTCTTGACTTGGAAGTAAAACATCTCAGTGGAAAGCTTATCTATAATTCAAATTCTATCTAATTCAATTTTTTTATTGTAGCTAAAGCTTTCTTATTCCAATTTTTTTTAAGATGATGTTTAAGTAAACTGGAATACATTTTAAGCATATAAACAATGTGTATGCATTTTTCAGCAGATACTACACACAGTAGACTTTACAATCCAATTAAGAAAGCTGTCTGGAAAAGCTTTAAATAACAATTTGTAAAATGTGCACATTTTAGATATATTCGCAGCTTAAGATTATGATTGAAATATTTGTAATTGCGACTTTAATTTGTATTCATTTCTTTGTGTGTTGCATTAAGAAGATTAGGACGTAAAACTCCTTTCATTTCATTTCATTTTTTGTGTTGCATTGTAATTTTAAGAATTTTGTAAATTTAGAAACTGGTGGTATATTATTGGGAGCGTCTAATTTAACTGGAAGATATTGGTTTGGATCATTATGGTATTACGATAAATATGAATCAATACCTGATGTAGAGAAGTGTACTGCAGGAGTTCAACTAGAAGCTGGTATAACTGATGCTAAATGGGTAGATTCAACAAAGGTTGTTGTTTCTCTTGATACAGGTAAGAAATAATGATGTATTTGTTGCCTTTGGTAAGTTCTCAAATGGAAATAGTATTCAAGAAACCCTTAAGTTCCAAGTCTGATTTTCAATGTTCCACTTCAACTTGCTGATTCTATAAATTCCATTTACAACCATTGTTTGATATCATCACACCAATTGTGTCTATACATTTTTCAAAATGTGCACTGTCAGAATATAAACAAAATTCAAAAATAACTTGTTTCCGTTTTCAACAAATTTTGAAATATTGATTGTGATTGCTGAGTTTTGTTGTCAAAATGCTAAATTGGAAGTGGTATAAGTGTAAACATACCCTTTCTGGTGCCACACCTGTGGTATCTGCTTAACATACCTAACAAATATGACAAATACAAACAAAAAATATTGACTTGACCGATCAATTTTGAAAGATGAATGTATTACAAAACTTACATGATTTAAAGTACTAGTGTAAGTGGTACAACAATGAAGGTGTGACTATAGCAAGTACGATTACAATTACATACATCACACATATTGTTTATTATTTTAAGACATGCTGAAGATACATGTTGACCGTATTATGTTAAATTGCATATAACACATCAAGATACCAGCTTGAAATAGCCTTAGTTTGTTTGGTACAGGTATATTCTTGTTTATTTGGATGTTATCTTGAATAGATTCATTAATGTTGACATAATATATCAGGTTTAATTGACTTGGCAATCAATCTCCTACTATTTTAACCTACTTAGTATTTTATCTCAAATACCTGTTTTTTATTAACCCAAATATACCAATATTGAGTCAACAGTTTTCCAATTATCATTCAATTTTACTTTATCTCACCAGAATATATATTCTAGGGTGTATCAAAAAAACGTGAGGTGGGAGGCAAAAATGAAAGGTGTCAGTGGAAAAATTCACAGGCCTAACGGGAGGGAGGGACTATAGACCAATGGCCCACCCCTAAATATGTCACTGTATATATTATATACCTTCGTATATTATATAATTTACATTTTAAAGCATAGAACATTTAAGGAATAATGTGCACATGATTTGAAAGTGTTTGCAGGTGCCATAATATTCCAATCTAATCTGATCAATTGAGTGAAGATATATTCGGTACAGTACTATAGTTACATCAGCTATCATTTTTTAGAGTTATACATGTAACAGACCTTTCTGATTTTATTTTGGCAATAAGTTGAGTCATGGATAAGTAATTGAAATATTGATACTAAGACCTAAATTCTGGTTACGTATTTCGATTCATGGTTTTGTTAGATTCAGCATGTCTTTAATCAGGAAAAAAATGAATTCGTAGTGGTATTTTAATAAGATTGATTGGGTTGTCTGTCCTGCTTGTGAATGAGATCGGATCATATATTGATTAAACTTGGTATTTGTATGTGTTATGAATATTGATGAGATTTAAGATGGGTTTGATTTTCTTGAAAATTAGATGATCACTACTTAAGGTTATTGTCCTCGAGTAGCCAAAATGTGCTAAAATAGGCTTGTGAACATTATAGTTAGCTCAGTTTTGACCAAATGTAGAACTCAGTACATGCTTGTGTTCTTGATGAAATTTTGTTTGAGTATGATTTACATGATTTTTGGATAAATTGTTTTAAGTTTATTGCCCTTTCCATTTTCAATCTTTTTTATTTATTTGTGAATGCATAGATATTGAGTATATTTTAATATATCAAAATTTTTACCCAAATTATAAAAGCATATTGTTAGGTTTAAATGCCTTGAAATTTGCTGGCCAACTTGATTTTACAATCTAAATTCTATCTCTAATTCTATCTTTACATGAAGAGGATTTTGTTTTTTCTATTATGTATAGTACAAGTTATAAGTAAACAATAACTTGGTAGTAATAGATAAAACATCTCAAGCTAATAGTTTGGCCAGATTTGTAATGTGACCTTTGCAATCATTTGTACTAAGCTATGAAATGGCCCGAAGCCAGACATTGCTATTAGCTATGAAGATCATCAATTTGAGGTGTTTATTATTTGCTAACTCTGACCTTGTATTTTACTTTATTAATTTTTTGCAGGTGGTTTAGCATTATGGGAATTGATAGATAATTACCACACATTTGTTTTAAGATCTACAGCTATAGAACATGATGATACTGTAAATAGTGTTAGTGTATCTTCAGATCATAAAAATGCAGTTTCCTGTAGTAGTGATTGCAGGTAATAATTTAATGAAAATAAAACCTTTATCATTAAAAAAGTATCCGTAGCTTTTTAAATAATTTAATTCCATGTAACATTAAAGATAATTTCTGAAAAGAAAATATTATTATTATAACATTACAACATTTTTTTTCAGGCATACTTAGAAAGATGAGAATGTTGTTTTTTTTTATCAAAAATGTAGACTTTAGGCATTTACACAAAACCTCACAGCTTCTTAAAACACAAATCCCTAATTGATTGTTCAATATGTACAGTATTGTACTGCATACTTTTCAGGGATCAGAGACTTCCTTTTTTATAGGAATTCCTCTATTTTTCTGGACAGTGATATATTTTAATATCAAATGAAACCACTAAAAATTTGGTTTAAGGAATGTAAAGATTGCTTCTAAGGACATGATTACCAAAGCATCTTAAAAATAGTACCCCACATAGGAGCTGGTGACCCCCCTTTGTTCCTCAGCTGATATTTTCCATTTTTCCTATGTTTTAATTCCCTACTGGAATCCCTGAGTTTTTCTTGGTCACTCCATCAGTCCATTGATCTGAAGTCATAGAAAGATCACTACATATGATTATTATTAAGTTTAATTTACAATTAGATTTTGTAATGCTTCATCTACTATTACAAACAGTATTTAATTTATTTCTTTTAAGAATCAAGACTTGGGATTTAGAGAACCTATCTTCAACTCATTGCTATAGAGGTGATTATTTTATATAAAACATCAGATTGTTAATTTGTAAGGAAACCTTGCTACAGCTTTAATGCTATCTTTGTGGATTTTTTTTTTCATTTTCATCATGACTAGCACCTCTAAATGTTGGTTAAGACTATACTGTAATGCAAGTGATTTTGCATTTGCTCTGAACGTTTTAACACTTTGAACACTGGCTGGTAATTCTGTGATCTGCTTAGACATCTAGTAAATGGATCATTGACTTTATTCAGAATTCTTAATGGTCATTGGTATACAAAGGGTTAAGTATTTTAGGGTTTTTTGGATATTTTTAGGACATAAAGATAGTGTTGTTTGTGTAGACTACCACTCTAAAGAAAAAGATCTCTTTCTATCAGCATCAACTGTAAGTACATAGGAGAATCTTCCATTGTAGAAAATTATATTTTGAAATGGACAAAAAAGCATTTAGAAATCTACCAACCAAGTCAAATGAGCATTTCTCTCCTTATAATTTTAGTCATAACATCACAAACAAATTATTGGAGGGATTTGCACAATGTTTGCTACTCATGGATTAAGATAATACCTGAAAGAACTCCCACAGTTAGAAATTGATAAAAGAAAGGCCTTATGTAGCTTTTCTGACAATATTTCCCTCGTAGCATAATGAATGCCAATCAGTTGCAAGAATTTTTCTTTCTTTTTATTGATCTTTTTTTATATTTCAAGGATGGAAACATAATATTATGGGATATGAGAAAACCCAAACCAGCCAGTATTGTAGGTAATATATCTTTTCATAATTTATTCTGTATATTTATTCTGTATATTTATGATGTATAATGTATGTTATAGTATATAAAACATCTGATATAGATAATATTACAAAACAATTTATAGCCATTAGTTTAGATGTTTGGTTAACAAAGAATTTACACTATATTTTTAGATTCAAGACCCTCAGAGAGTTCACCCACATGTGTAGCTTGGCAACCAGAATCTAACAATATGGCTGCCTTTGGTGATGAATTAGGTAGAATAGTTGTTAAAGATTTAAGGATGTGTACTGAATCACACAAAACCATCATACCTCATAATAGACTTGTACATAGACTAGCATTTAGCCCTAAAAAGTAAGTACGAAGCGATATTTTCATCTTATGAGCTTCTTTATGCATTTACACATTTATTTGATTATAGGGCACAAAATGCTGAAATCTATCAAAGATTAATAGCAAATCCAATTTTAATCTGAAAATATTCTCAAATATGGGTTAAATATATCAGAAACTACAGTATAATTGGGAGTTAATGTCAATGGGATAATGGAATGGCAATTATCATTCTTGTTAAATGTTACTGTATTTTGTATATTATAATGTCTATATTATATTTATTGTAGACCTAATCTATTAGCATCAATAAGTGAAGATTGTAGAACTGTTATTATGTCTATAGATGATAATATTATTAAACCATTGTAAGTACTATTTTCATTATTTCTCAGTTCCCCTGCTGATCTTTCTGTTGTTAAAAACAATAACAATCAAAATAACCCTCAAAAAATGCTTTTTAGAGCCCTGTTCCTTTGACAGATATTTGTACATACAAACAGTTAATCTATAAGTCCGTAAATGTATTGGTTTGTTATCTTGAGTTGTAAGCATTCCCTCTGTGACTTCAAAATTTGCCAAGAGTGATGAGGTCAAAGTCCTGATTTGGAATTTTATAGAATGCTCAGTTTCCACTAATATGTCTCAGTTCCACAAATTACTACTCAAGTTTTAAACTAATCCATGCCCCTGTAACATAACCTTCAGTGTCTGGCTATTAGTTAAAACTGAATGGCATTGTTAAATGAGGTGCTATGGCACTGGTGTTTATGGACAGTTTAGAGAAGTATTCTCTTTAACATGAAGTTGTGCAATAAATAGTTAAATTGCACCATTCCCATTTTCAATTAGACGTCTGTAGTCTCTACAATTCCATTAAATTTAAGTGTTTGATGATATCATTAATCGCAGAATATTTATGTTAACCACAAGGCCATTCGCGCTTAGTGATGTCATTAACACTTAGTTCTAGTGAAATTGAAGGAAGCACAGATGTCTGATAAAAAATTGGAATGGTGTCCTCAATTCACATACAAATTTAGAAAACCACCTTATGATCCCTTTAACTTGTTGATAATTACAATGATACATAATAAATTATTTTGTAGATATAATGAAATAAAACATACAGATTATGTACATGGTATTAGTTGGTATAATGAAGATATTATCACTTGTGCTTGGGACTCGAATGTTGTTAGACATTGTATACAAGATCAAAGGGAAACAAATCAGTCTAATAGTGAATCTATTGTGATGGAAGTGAATAGCGATATACCTGATAAACAAGATATAATAGAAAATACTAAACATACATTATCGAATGAGAGTAAATCAAAAACAGAAGGAAAAGGCTAATACTGTTGTAAACTGATAGAATCTGTAATTACCATCTACCTATTGCCATAACTATAGTATAAAATGCAAATAGCATTAATTGTTTACTTTGATAAATCTAACTTTTACTAAATATTTTTATTTTGTATTCAGCACATTGATCTGTGCTTCAACAAAACTAACAGGACATTTTTTGTGTTAAAAAAATTCTCACAAAATGTTATCTTTGCAGGGTCAAAAATAAATTGACAATAATTGACAATATTCGATGGAAAGATATAAGAATTAGTAAGATTATAAGTCAACTTCCAAATTGAGATTATCCTTTAGATTTGCTTAGGAAAAAGGTCCAAAACATGCAATAGAAAACGAAGATAAAAGCATTTGGTGCAAAAGTAAAGCTATTACATTATTCTAGATTTTATATGCCATTTTGTATATTTACCATAATTTGTTATGTTCCTAATTTACTTATTTTGTGGGCTTTCCTACTAAATGATGAATGAATGCATAGAAGTATATAATGTGGTAAATTTAATGTGTCTCTATATGTTAGTGTCTCTGTTTCAATTGATGTTGTCTATGTTATAATGTCTTATGTTGATGTTGATTCTATTGGAAACTTTAAGGTAAACCATTGAAGTGAGAAAGAATTTTATAAGAGTACAATAGTTATATAAGGATGAATAAAAAATATATATATATTCAATTATTCAGTGTCTTTATATATTAAATGATCAGAATGGCTATTTTCATGCGTTGATTTGAATATATGTAAATAGTTTTCAAAAGCAATCGCATAATTCCTTCAAAAATATCTCGAACTAGAAATTTCACTTTCTATTTCCACATAATGTCTTATTTGTATTTGGCAGTGTCTCAAGAAAAGACCAGTCATCATTTCAACTTTCAAACGCAGATAATTTTGGACACACTTGGATTTGAAGGCACAAACTGTGATCTTAGATAGAAAATTCCTATTTCTGAGAATGGCATGATTGGTCGAATGAATGGCGAATTTTTCCCTTTTAACTATATGTGTAGTTCAGTGATCTTACCATAAAAATGAATAGTTGGCTAAATATTTGCTCAATTTCAAAAATGAAAGTGTGACATAGCAATGAGGTGTTTTGCAGTTTTGAGAAGCTGTTTTTAACAGAAGAATTTTGATCTGTATATAAAAAGACCTTGTTTAAATAAATGATTTATTCTTGCAACCCACAAATATTCTACGAGAAAAAAACGAAAAAAAGGTAAATACAACTTTTTCAAGAATGTCTGGAACTGAACAATATATATTTTGAGATAGAGAGCATTACAAATAAATTATATGTTCTGTCTTACGTTATTGACATTGCTAATAAGAATTTCTAAAGATGAATTTTTTTGAACAAAAGAAATCATAAATAATATAAAAATAAAAGTTTTACAAAAAAATATGGTGAAATGACATTACTTGAATTTATGATTGGCTTTGATGATGTATTGTTGCCCACTTATTTCTGTAATGAAGGGGAATGAATAGATTTAAGAAAACTAATTTATACCAAAATCTAGAGAAATGGGTACACTGTACTTATATGAAAGAATTAACTGAAAAAATCCGTCCGTGCCATTAATTTTTTAAACAAATTCAGTTCGATGAAATAGATATATAGATGTCAATGGCATATTTTAGAAATATTTTCGGTAGTAATTTTCCAGAAAAGATCTATGCCAAGAGATTGGGCCTAGTGCCATCTTTCGTACTTAGGCCTATCTAATTGAGTTTCTACCTTCTATCCTAATTGTACCATATCTTTCTTAGTGTTTTTGGAATCTGTGTTACCAATATCTCAACTAAGTGTTTTTTTTTTAACAAAATTGCATTATATTTCTGTGCAAGTAAAGGCTACAGTAACAGAGGCATGATAAGAGTCAGGAGAAAATGGGATCGTTTTTCAGTAAACCTGCATATGTAACAATCTAGGCTTGGTAAATTGATCTTATTCGGATTATTCATATTCATACCAGGCTATCGACTGCAATGCTATTCTGTAATGGAGAAAAACGAGATTATCACGGTCTGGTCACAAAATTTTCAATGAAAAATACTTTTAAAATTCCCACACCTTGGTAGGAAACACCCAAATAATGTTTTTGAAGACTTACGCTCGTTGATGACTATGGGAATCAACAATCTAACCAAAAAAACCTACACCGTTCCTTACTGGATGATTTCGTGTGCTAATAGAGCCATCACTTCTTAATTCATCAAGGGTGTATGAATCAGACCATTGCTAAACCATTACCTCACGGATTATCCTTTATATAGTCGTCAGAACCACGTATTAAATGTCATTATTAATAATATAAAATAAGTTTCCTGGGTCAGACGTAGTCTTGCAGTGCAGAGCCACACACCAATGATGAAGTGTGGTATATGAGAAGTTAACACCAGTTTCCATTTAACATCAGCTTCCATATAACATCAGCTTCCATGCTGTAATCGCAGCATGATTCAGCACTGTCGGTTTGGTATGGTTGAGAACCACGATGAAAGGCGTACCAATGAATGGTCAGTACCTAGACAGTCATTAGATATTACCCGATTTTGGAATTTAAAGTTTTTCCTCATGTTCCTTTGTTGTCTTTCTTCAGAAATCTAATCAGCCATTAGACAGCTTCTCAACCTGGGATACAAGTATTCCCTGGTCGGTGGTAGGCTCTACATACTAGAATCACACTGGGCACTTGGGGGATTTTAGAAATGTTGTTTTGGTATCGGCGAGATGTTTAGAAAACTCTTCCCTTTTGTTATGGTGGGCTGGAGTGCACAAGGGACGCCAAATCTTTAAAAATTGGTCTTAAAGATCGTGGAGCAAAGGTACAATCTAAGATTGTCCAGCCACATGTTGTATAACCCGGACTAAATCAGCATATTATTCACAAAGGCAAATAAGAAATCTATTTCTTTACTATCGTTGGCCTTGTATTATATTATAATTTAGATGTTCTTACATTATATAATTTATAGATTGGTCTTGTATTATACAATTCAGATGCCATCATATATTGGTCCTATTTCATATAATTCGGATGTTCTGCTTACCGTTATAGATCATTGGTCCTATATTTTATTTAGTATATATCTTAGTTTTTCCCCATTCAAAAGAATAAAATCGCCTTTAAATACAAACTGAATTTGTCTGATTTATCTGCAATTGCTCAAGTTGAATTCTCAAATGACCCAAAAGAAAAGTTATTCTACACTTTTTATTGATAGACATTATTCATATTGTGATAGAATATAACACTAACATATTAGTTTATTTTATATATTGTCCATGACAATAACACTAACAAAGAAATCATTTATGATTAATGTTTAATGATATTTAGCTCGGGTTAAAAATTCCAGACATACATAGACAAGGGAATTAATAGTTGTTGAAGCATCATCAATTAGTATAAATTAACTTTTTTATAGACTTGCCGTACTTTGCAATATTAACTTACAATTTATATTCTGATTATTTTATATCAGCTTGATACTTTATAAATCTCAAAATGCAATTTAAAATATTACGGGTTCATAGTGATCAATATTACGAGAAAAATTGACAATGCTTATATCAACTAAAATATTTTTAGTTTCCAAACAATTAAATCTATCCATAAGATAAACACCGAGGGAAACCTAAGGCTTTTATATTTTTTCAAGGCAATTTTTCCACTTCTCATGCCGAAAAATGGTTAAAGTTGTTTGATAGCTTCCAGAAATTCCTATCAACAATTTGAATAAGTAAAGACACCAATCCCCACATTGTGGAATCCAGTAGCGTAGGGAATGTTGACGTCAATGATTCCGTAGGCGATAGATATAGATGTATATCATATTTTTCATAAGGTGTCATCAGCATAACACTCCTGAGGGTAAATTAGTAATAGTTAAACAAATCAATTCGTACTGTTTCCAGGTTTTATTTCGTCGCAGACCACGCTTTATTACATTAGAATCTTACACTTTTTTATTCGCTTTAATATTATTGAAGCAATATGAACTGTATTTAGACAGTTTCGAAAGGATTGACGTGTATCACCAATCCGTCCACAGATATCTCCTATTAGTCAGATATCGTCCCCTCTTGTTGATACAGATTTCATTAAAACGAAAGAGGGAGAGATTATAAGTGTGCGATTAACATAATCATATTGTTATTAAATTGGACAGAGAAGAATAACTATCAGAGGAAGCATTACTATATGCCCACATGAGATGTGAAGCGTACATGTACAGTATATCGGCGTCACCCATGTCCATCGGTCCGCCGGTCCGTTCATAATTGCTCACATACAACCTATAGGAGGCAAATTCTTGGTGTTGAGTCAATTTTCACCCTATTAAAGTAAAATAAATCGAAATATATTTAGAAGTAATTATTGCCCTTGTTCTTGAAAACGCGTTCAATTTTTAGCTCGAAGGCACAATTCTTCACGGATTTAACTCGAAACTTGTTGAGATCACAAGGATGAACCCTATCGAAAATTACAGAAATCGTAAAATATATAGTTTTTTGACCTTGAAAGCACGCTCTTAAACACTCTAGAACGCACAATTCTTGCCAGATTTTGACAAAACTTTGAAAGTTTGAAAGGTATGACTAAAGGTTGAATAAATTTTACACGGATGATTGTTATTCTTATTAAAAATCAAAAGCTGCCATAGCAGTAGGTATATACTAAATTGCCAGCAAGCTATATATCTTTATTGATAATAAACTTCCCTTCGGATACTGCTTAAAAATTTACACAGGCCCTACCCATACTTACGTAGTTAAATACAAGTCCTACCATTCAGACTTTGTAAATAGAAGGTTTAATTATCAGACAAGAGATTGTATGATATCTTCAACACTTACACATATATCGTGCACCATCACCGTTAAAACCACGACCATTTATCAATAATATGTACATGGTTTCGAACAAACGAGGGTCTTGTATAGACGTGCAGGGTGATCAATCCCGTTGAAAATAGAAAAGCATAGCGTCACGTCTGCATTGGGTCAGTACCCGTACCTCGTGTATCGATTAACCCACGCCGTACAGCCCAACGTGCAAATTCCATGATATTTCTATCTTCACGATGGTCAAGATATAACGTCTTCATCTTATATAAACCTTGACTGTAATGCCCCATTTCCTTGTTTAACGAGAATTTGTGAAAGCAACAATTTGATTGGATTGTTAACTAGCAATTACAGCCAATATGAGCCCTCGGCAGAATGATTGTAAAAACATAATCAAGCATGCAATCTAAGAGTTTGAATGGCTGTATTCGTTGGCGTACCTTCCAACCAAATCGCTGACTGTGAAACAAGAAAGCGTGATACGTTCAAAGCCTTACACCTTAGTGTGTTTGTATTTATGAAAGCTGTTTTAATGATACATTTGTCATAAAGAATAAACATATATTATAGCTTATAGGCATGTTTATTATTATTATTTCTGATTCGCCATGATCTTTCTTTGTTTAGTTATGTGCAAACCCGTAAGCATTTAAATCCTTCCATTTTCATCATTTATTTGAATAAATGGTCAATGACTTGTACATGCTGTTTATATATTTTTCATGAAATTCTTTGTTGAAATATGTAAATTGTAAGGATTACCCCATGGAATAATAAAAAATAAGAAACAACCAACATTATACAGAGCGGTGGGTTTTATTAATGACCTACATAACACTGCTTCATTTTACTAAACACCTTAAACCACAGCAGTCTTTAGAGCACACGTACTCCGGTCCATAACTCATTTGACAATACGTGTTCGTTTTACAACCAAACTGAAAACCCGCACATTTACAACCAAATAGTTGCCTATTCCATCTTTTGGATGGGTTATGAAGTTCCGTTTCATCTGAACCCTTAGTACCTTTTGATTCCTTCTCTTCCATTATATACTGTATTAATTTATTCATAAGGTTGTGTTTTCTCTCTTCAATATAACCATCATCTGATTTAGCATCTGTAATTAGAAAAGTAAGAAAATTCTTACATTTTGTAATATTAACTTTTCCAGTCGGTCAGCTTATAAAATGTCATCTTCACAAATTTAAGCTATTTCGAATTTCGTCTTATATGCGACGATTTCAATGGATTGTACGCCAGCGAATACAGCCATCAGAGCCAACGACAGAAATACTGTTAACATCATGGCTTACTATTTACTGCTCGCTTACGTATAATGCAATCAAATCGCTTCATTTACAAAGTTCCGTGATGGCAATTGTAGTCAAGGTATAAGACGAAGTTCTTAATATCTTGACATTTTGAAGATGCATAGACTAGTGATCGAGGAATAAAATAGTTAACAATATTATTGAAAACATCACTTTTATCGAATAGTTTTTCAGATTGTTTATGGCGACTGCTCATCTTTTATTGTAAGTAATCGTTAGGTTCTTTACGCCTTTACTTGTTCCTTTGTTTTAAATATCGACACAAAATCCTTCAGAATATCTAAAAGAAATAAAAATTTTGAATGATGAAAAGACCTGGAATTTCTCAACAAGTCATTTATAGACTAAATAGAATCAGGAAAAGGTACAAATGTCAATAAAGAAAAAACTTTATAAAATTATCGACAATATTAAATAGAAACTTTGACATTAATATTTATTTTCTATAAGCTCTATTCTTTTTACGTCTTTTGACTTTTTTTCTTTAGAAAATACTCTTTGTTTGCGCCTTTTAATTTTTCTGAAAATAAGTCTATAAAGAATAATTCATCAAGATAGTTTGCTAGGCATGGTATAACGCACCGCTTACAGCTTTCTTGAAACTGGGATATTTGATTATATACAACGATTGCCAATGAAATGAAATTTTATTACGATACATTGCGATCTTCTGAATATATTCTTCTTTCAAAAGTGTTTAACATCCAGATTCATACACGCTCAAGATTTGTTAAGGAATTGTGCTCTATAGATAATTTCAAACAATTACGGCACAAGTTCGGTAATTGTGTACAAATTTCAACAAGAAATCTTAAACTTATGCCGATACATAGAAATTCAGAAAACCCCTTTACAATCTCTTTAATTAAGTACAACCCAAACTGTCAAACACTAGAAAGCCAAAAGTCTCTATGGATAACAATCACTTTATTTCTTAAACACGACGTTTCGACAAGATTCCACTTAAGTGTGTAAATATAACAAATTAATGATTATCATAATATGCAACACCTTCACAACATGAAATTGGTGACGTCACTAGTTCCGATTTTCTTCTAGATCTAATATGTCAGATTATGTAAATCCAGCGTGAAAAAAGAATTCGCCCCCAACTTCTCCGTGTTATCACAGATACCACACGAAGCTTTCAGAAGTCGTAATCTACATTTAAAAAAAAAACACTTACAAAACGAAAAGATTGCCACAAAAACAGATATGAAAAATTAAAAAGAAAATCTGAACATTAAACATACATTAAAGCTTTTTACAAAATAGATCTTCTACAAATGAATTAAGCCCTTTCTTTTCTTATGTATTTCATTTCAATTCGAAGGCTATAATCTCTTCGATTGAGCGAAATCAAAACCAACTAAGATCAAGTAAATTTTCTTTTAAATCTTAAAAATGTAAATATGGCTTCAAAAATACTATGAGTGTATCCAATGATTATCAACCTATAGTTACCCACCCGCACGAAGCTGACCTTATTCATCTGATTGACATCAAGTTTCTATGTTGGCTTTGATTTTATGTCAAATTACTTATCATATTAGCTTACAGCTACATAATGCATTTGGATCATAGTTCATTACCAGCCAGGTCGGGTTAATATAATAATCTACCGCTAACGAAGAAAGGTATTTCTCCTGAGACTGGGGGTTCAAACGAGAGGTAGACTGGTGAAAATAGAATTAATTTGGTGAAAACTCACACATATTTTGGACAAAAACATATAAGATTCATATTGCTTAGAATCGTGCACACGATTTTTCTATCGCCACTGTTCGTGAGAAATGTTGGATATGGACATAAAGTTATAAATAGTTCTTATAAGAACTCTTTGATTATGGGATTCCTTAAAAGAATAGATTCGCCACAAGTATGACCAATCGTACCTTCGGCTTAAAAACGGGATATTCTTTTAGCTAAGTTAATCAGTCACAGTGTTTACAGTTATTGAAATTTGACCCAAGTGTGTCTAGAATTATCCAGGTTTGAAATTTAAAAAGACGAGTCGTCTTTTCTTGAAACTCTGCCATGTATAGAAAAGACATATTAGAAAGTTAAATTCAAAATATTTTTGAAAGAATTGTGCGTTTTTCGGACAATTTTAGTACTTCTGGAGGCTACATGTATTTACATATGATCAAGGACCAAACAATCCCCTCAAAACGGCAAACCTGTACCTTTAATACATCATCGCACAACAGTTGAAGGAACCGTGATCTTCAAAATGAAAAACTTACAATAAAACCAAACCTTGTCAAATTAAAGAAATGATCTTGACACCACAATTAATAAATATACAAATTACGTCAAAAACACAATACCCACTTGTCTCATTTCGGTTGAGTGAAAATAGAATTAGTCATATATTTCTCAAAGATATGATGGATGTGAAATTATATTGCGAAAGCATAATTTTAAAGGAAAACACTCCATAAATCCAATGACAACTATCATTCATTTCTACGTGGTATAACACTCACTTAATCTATCAATTTGATCAAAATAGGCAAATTTGTTGCTGAAATAACAAATACATCTTACAGGACATTGTAAATCCAACATGTTTTTGTGTGATTTCTGCAATTTTCTGTGTTTGGAAGACAGATTTAGAAGCATACTATTGCCCAATTATGACAATTTAAACACGTGATTGTAGACATTTCTACTTTAAAGTAAGAACTGGCAATGTTTACCCCTACTCCTAGTTTCAAAGTACTTGAAAAAACAATGATCTTAAAACATTATGTCACGCGATACCGATTGTACTTTCTCTCAATTTATGGAGACATTCCTTATTGTTAACCGCAAGTCTTGTGTGCTCTACACAACGTTAAAGTAGGACGTAAAACTTCCATTTCAGTTTCTGCACAACGCCAAGCTATTACAAACTGCGTTTTATAAATCTAATCATATCGCTATATCTAAAAAATGTCTTGATACAAAGAAAGATTATTGAAGTCAAGGTATAAGACGCAAAAATTCACATTGTGAAATGGTCCTGTATCCGCAGGAAAGAATTAACAATAACACAACACACGGACTGATTGAACCAAATAATCCACGATAGTAAGGGACCCAGCCATCCCCAGAAATTGTTTTAATTAAATTGACTTACAGAGGGTTCTCAGAATGAAGGAAAGCATATATTTAAAAAGAATTCTCCGGGGGAGGGCCCCCACTCGACTAGTTGAGCCACTGTTTGCAAGCTGAATAAGTGATACACATCGGAGGGAAATATTTGATCAGCGCCCATAGTTGCTTTGATGATCCGAGGGTTCATTGTATGACTTTGTCCGCTCACAATATATCGGTTGCAGAGAAGTATAATTCCAAACACCAACTTCATTTAGTAGAATATTTCGCCCACAGTGTGAGAAATGAAATAAAAACTGTGTCAGATCCTCTATAAAAGGAAGTTACCTATTCTATTAACATGACTTCTATTTACTTTACATCACGAAAACGTAATATCAGAAATTTGGATCTATTCATTTCTGACTATTTGAAACAACAATGAACTAATTTTCATTAAGACAGAACAAAAACAGAAAAGACTTTCTAAAGGTTGTTTCCAATCCTCTTTTAACTTAAATTAACTGACAAAATCGAAAACTTTAACATTTTAAGGAAAGGTAATGATAATTTTAAATACATTAAGGACAATAGAGTTAATTAACCGAAGTCCATTATGATGTCCCATATATATTAGGTTTGTTTCCGTTAGTTTTCAAGTGCACGATGCTAGAAAATAAATATTACCCACGTTAAAATGTTTTCTGAATTTGTCTTTCCACGTTGATTTCTAAAGAGATTCAATGAAGGTTTCGTAGCCTTCGTTTGTGTATCGGAGACACATAATTCTGTTTTCACCATTCTGATTTCTCGTCCTATATAATATTATTCTTTTAACTGAGTAACTTGACCAGATTATTCGACACCGTCTCCAATATCATTTGACTTAATTGGTACTACCACGACAAGAAAGTTTCTTTTGAAGCCCTCAAATAATGCCAAATTTTGCTTTGACAAATTTTGTTCAAGAACGCTATGAGTAGCAATAGGTGAGGTGCATTTGATTATGATGGGATGTGAAAAGACAATCATTTGTTGCTTCGTCTACCCCGGTACTCATAACGATATAAAAGATGGTTTTCCTTATTTCTTAGTGTCAAATTAAGCAAACTATTTGATTGAGTGGTGTTTCTAATGAATTATTGTGTATTCTTAATCATATCATGTTCTTATTGCATATAATTAAGAGTTTTAACCAATCATAAATGTCCATGTGTGTACAATCTGGATAAATAAAAAAAGAGACTTTTTGACTTTCTTGATCGGTCAAGTATTGGCATTTTCATTTTAATATATGAAAATAAAGGAACCATCTTTAAATATTATGATAAACTACTATTGTACCACTGACGAAATGCGGTAGATTATTCCTGCGATTACGATTACTGGTGATGTTAATGATGTGGGCATGGTTGATATTGTGTGATGTACCAGTATCATTGATGGTGTGATGTCAATGCACGAATGGTGTTGTAATATTGATGATATGATGTACATATACATGATTGATGGTGTGATGTCCATAGATGATTGATTGTGTGATGTCCATTCATGATTGATGATGTGATGTACAAACATGATTGATCGTGTGATGTCCAATACATGATTGAGGGTAAGATGGCCATACATCATGATGTGATGTCCATACATGATTGATGTTTTGATGGCCATACATGATTGAGGGTAAGATGTTCATAATGATGATGTAATGTCCATACATGATTGATGTTGTGATATCCATACATGATTGATGTTGTGATGCACATACATGATTGATGGTGGGAGTGCACAGATGATTAATGGTGTGGTGTACGTGCACTATTGATGGTGTGATGTACACACACGATTGATGATATGATGTGCGTAGGCCTACATGATTGATCGTGGTATCTACGTACAAGATTTACGTTGGGATGTACATATGATTGATGGTATGATGTGCATACACATTGATGATTCGAGGTACATACATGATTTTTCGTGGCATGAACATACACGATTGACGAGGACTTACATACATTGATTGACTTGATGTACATACACAATTGATGATGACTGCGGTGTAAATACGCGATTGATGATGACTTTGATGTACATACATGATTGATGATGTGATGTATATACCCGATTGATGATGACTTTAGTGTACATGTACATACATGATTAGTAGTTGCTGCACATATACGGTTGATGATTGGATGTACATGTACATACACTATTGATGACGACCTTGATGTACATACACGACTGTTGATGACTGTGATATACATAATACGATTGGTGGTGATTGTGATGTACATATTATATACGATTGATGAATTCATGTTGGTGAATTAGATTATTATCATGTAAAAAACGACTGTGGATGACTATAGCTGAGGCCAAGTGCTTGAATGGCATGATGAGCTCCTGGCGACCTATTCATGATGAGCCATTGATTACGATCAGTTAGTAATATGCTGCCAATATCTACGATTTGGAATCCAGATGACGGGAGACCTGAGGCAAGACCGTGGATAACGAACGAGTTAAAAGCGGCTGGTGATGTACTGTTGATGCAGAATGGATTATGACCAATTATAATAAACCATTGGTGATAAGCTCTCAACTACATGCAATTGATGAAAAATTGATAATGAACTCTTTTGATGGTGTTCTCTATTCACAACGCAATATTCAAACGACTAAAAACAATCCATGATGGGTCATTGGAGATGAACGACTGGCGAACGTTGCTGATATGCACAAAAATTGATGGAAAATTTTTGAATAATTGGAATTTGGTGTTTAAGGCAGACGATTGATAAAAAGATGGCCATATTCGTGACGTGACGGTCATCACTGACGCAAGACATGATGCAACCTATATTGGTTGCTGAAATGATTTTGATATGCACCTTTTAAGATGAACGATTTAAATGGATGTTCCATCAAAGATAACAATCGATGAAAGATGACCGGTTGATGATGGGCTTTCACAATCATTCATGAAGTGATTCAATAAAGCCATGGGTACGATTGAAGAACGATTGATGATGTTCATGTTTGGCACGACGTTATGGGCGAATAATGCTTGCTGTCGCAATTTTTGGCTTTTATTATCCATGATGCTACTTTTGAAATATTTCGTACGTGTTCAACTTTTCGCTAAATTCATATACATATTCATCTCATCTTTTATTCCGCGTCAGGAACATATCTATAAGGGATATAGAGCAAACAGAAGGGTTATTTGGTGTTATTCTTTTATTATAATAAAAAAAAACAACATATTTTCTCTATAGTCGTTTCAATGACATGAAAACTTGGCCTATGATGATAAGCCAAGATACATTATCTTAATGAGAAGAACGCAAACCTCATATTGAACAGTGGTAATGACATTGTTTATTTTTCAATGCGATGGTTTTTTTATATATAAATGCGTTCAAAGCTTTATGAATTGAAAAAGAAAAGTTCTTTGGGAGCGTAAATTAATTACACAGAAATTTGGTGGCACACAGCCAAGCTTGCCATCAAACACGTTCTTGCACAAATTATGCTATGAAGTTTTTAACTGTGTATTAGAAACAAGCTCGGCTGTTATAAGCGGAATTTTGTGTTGAAACAAATAAGAAATATAGATAGCCCCTACTTTGAAGAGAGACTGGTCAAATTTTAGGCGCCTTTACATCGGCAAATAACAATTTCGCAACTTTTTAAGGATGAAAATTAAAATTCTATATAGATTTGATTCTGTTTTTATATGCTTCGAGTTAGATCTATATTCTAAATAGAAAGCTTGAGAGATTATAAAAATGTTTAATACTATTATTGTTTATTTCTCAGCTATGTTTTGTGTGATTAACATCTGACAAAATCAAAACCATTTAGAAAAGTTAAGTTCGATACTTACTAGAGATAGTTATAACTGTTATTATAGTAGATATCAATACAATATTCATTCTCAATTATCAGATCATAAATCCGTTAAAAATATACCACACTATCACTTCTCAACTTGGTCTACAAACACTTTTAAACAATAACCAACCTATACCCTAATGAACATCTGTGGCACCAAAACTGAAAAGATTGACAATTAATTTTATACAGTTATTATACATTAGGTGGTAAACAAAAGTGTGGTAGATATTATTGATTTCAAACTTTATATTTTCATTTATTTGCTTTCATAAGTGACGTCATATGATGTTTGATGAGAGATCTTACAGGTAGAATGATTCGTTCACTCTTCCCACACTTCTTTTACATCTCGTTCCTCATGAATAAATTATGCGGAAACGTCAAAAAAAGTTTTTACCTAGGGAGTCTAATTTGACATCAAAAGAGTTAAGAAGCTATTGATGAAAAGTCACTTCTAAATCCTTATTTGAATAATTAATGGGTGAGGAGAGAACAATGGATTTGTCTGATGAAATCTTTTGTATATGAGGGAGATTAGGATTAGAATAACATTTTATCAATCACAATAGTAGTATTTATATTAGTATACAGAAATATAATAAACAACATGAATAAAATATTGATCATAAACTAAACCTTTTAGCATTTCATTTACTATCAGTTTATCCATCTCCGATTGCTATTCTTCCTATGTTACTTAATTAAAGTCTACATGGCATTAACTAAACAGGTCGACTAATTCAAACCTTGATTTTAATCACAGACTTACTAAAGGTAATTAACTAGCTAATAATCTTTTTTTTTTAATTCTGAAAGTTCCAGAGTCTGATGATATCAGATTTAAGTTTAATTATTTTCAAAATTCAAATTCAAAAATCCCCCCTCCAACTTCAAAAAAAAAAAATTAATCATTCTCTCAAAAACAATTTTTTAAAACTGAAAATTAACTCCATTAAAAGAACTAGTCCCCCGCAGATTTTCTGAATAGACAGAATATGACACAAGTAACAAGAATAAAAATGAGAAAATTGACTAGCTACATTCATTTTAAGAAGAAATAAGATGAACGAGAATTAAGCCTACAAAGAAGAAAGCGTCGGAAACAAAGCTTAATAAGCTTACGACATTTTTACAGACTTTTTCGAGCTCATCTTATTATATCCTGGTTGTTGTTTGTTTGATACTTTTCATCATAGGAAAGGCAAAATAACATAAATGGATGAGCTCTGTTTAAATGCTTCATTATATTTTTTTTGTTCGTATGCGTTAACATTCAATTTAGTTTTAATGAATATCGAAGGAACTGACTCTATCGAATCTGTAGCCTACTTCTCCACATTAGAAATGTTGAAAATCAATCTTTTTGATTATACAACGAAATCTGTTACAGTTAATTATTCTACTCTGAGGGTGGTTTGGTATTGCAATCATTTTTTTTTTATTTTTTAAAAAGATATTCTATTCATTTTGAGTGGTAGGCGTTTTTTTTTTCCGAAAAACGATGGAATAAGAGAGCGAGATCTAATGATTCTACACCTTTATATGTAACGTATTATAGTTATCTTTGGTTTTGGCCCTGTTTATGACTTATTACTTTGTTCCCTCCACACTGAAAGTAACTGTAACTACGCGACAATCGTTGAACATAAAACGGCTTTTGTATCAGACATTAGTAAATAAACGTGGTCATGCTTGGACACATTTTGTTTCATTGTATCATTATAATGTTATGATATGTGGGATTGTTTGACAATAAATAATTCATTCATTGAGAATATTATAGAAATCCTCGGCAAAGGACCACGGTAAGGGCAAGAACAATTTCTAAAAACCATGCCAATAGTAACAGTACAAAAGAAGGAACGCCCACTAAGTCTTTGCGACGACTATATTTACCACGGCATCCATCCACTTCACGATTTCTCTTAATGTACCTGTCTTACATCATGATTTACTTGATGATCGACACAGGCGTATTTTTAACTGTTTTAGATATGAATTGTGGATACTATCTGGGACAAACTACAGTTTCAAGATTCCAAATTAAGATGTCGATGTATCCCCTGGCGTCATCAAAACTTGGATTTTCAACGTTATAATAGCCCAAAGGAACTCGAATCACAAGGCCTACAGATAATTGCCACTATACATATCTAAACGAACCATTCATCATCACCCTTACTTTGCACCCAGAGTGAGTAATTAGTTAACTGTATTAATTAATTGTCGCGGTCTTATTGGCATGTTCAACTTCGGGTAAAATATATATAGATTATGATAATGTGAAAAATTAATCACAAATGATCAAATCTATTGTTTTATTTTAAATACTTTGGTTAGTTTCCTAGCAAAATTTCCATTATTTTGTTTGATCATTGCTTTTAAAATTATCAGGAAAGCCACTGCACGATGACAGAACATAGGCAGTATTTTATACCCCTAGCAAAGTTACTTCAAGATGTTCTTTGCTATTAATAAGCCAGACAGTGATGGTTCTTAGTGTGTTCTCGAAGGAATAGCTGCCATCGGCGTGGAAACTTTTTCTATTAAGCAAATATTTTGAATAATATGATGAATCTAAGCCTTTTTACGGAATAACGATATCAAATTGCAATTTTTCTATGTTAACAAATTCTCATCTATAGCTATGTCTGATATTTGTTTCACTCTGCAAGACCCAGCATGTTTTAGGCTATGCAAAATAAAATCCCCCGACAGTTGAACATCGAAAAAAAGAAAGCTATTGTCCTGGCAAATTTTTATTCATTGCATACTGTATGGCGTTGTCCATCTTCTTTATCCCAATCAAGTACAGAAAAGTGAAAAGCAAACTACATTTTTCATTTTGTGTAGAAATGTCGTATTTAAAGTAAAAACGTTATTTTGATTACCAGTTTCCAAGTTTCAATGAACTGAATGGAAGGTTTTATACTCTTTCAATATCTCAAACAAATTAAAAAGTGAACTGCCAAAATAATAATTTTTTCCTCATGAAAGTTAAAAATATGTCAGATATGAGATCTATACTTAAAATTCTTATTTAGTTGGATTATTGTTACATGTGCCACTGACACTGAAGTATCCATCTAGAAAACCTCCATATCTCCAGTTCTATCTCTATGATTTTGTCGGCTTGTAAACTTTCATTTATGGATCGCCGTTTAAATAGGCACATGCTGCTCTCTCCTTTTGGTGACTATACAATAACCAGTAACACGTTATCTTATAACGTCATTAAGTGGACTGGTGAAAATAAGTTCTTTACATCGACACCTCTTCTTATCATCATCGTTATCTTGATAACGCCTAAGCAAACAATGACCAAGCAAATTCCTAGGATAGAGATCAGTGGATTTGGTTCAACCAGCTAGTCCCTAGGATAGTTGAGCCACTGTTCAAATGAATGTTATTAGAAAATTGTGTAACCAATTCTTTTAATCTAGAATCAAGGAAAGAGGGGGATCAAATCATAGATATCGTTCTTTGTGGAACTGGGAAGCCTAGAAGTATCGATTATATTTTTATGTCGAATTAGAAGATTAGAAACCTATAGAAATCTAAATCCGTTCTAATCCTTTAATAATCGGAGTTGGCCTGAAAGGCAGTGATATTAAGCTGCATCTTGTAGTGATAGGTATGTAGGCCTATTCGTCTTATACCTTGACTGTATTAATTACCTTTTCTTATTTCACAGAATGCAGCAATTTGATTTGATTGTACGCAAGTGAATAGCCTTTGACAGACGGACTGTAAACATTGTGGCTCACTGTTTGTTGATGACTCTGATTGGCTGTATTCGTTAACGTACAATCCAACCAAATCACCGCATTTACAAACTTCCGTGATACAAGAATGGTTGCTATTGCAGTCACGGTATATGACGCAGTCCAAGTTCCAGTCTATAAATTCGTTTTGACTAGAACTTGTTTCCGAGAAACACGTCATTGTAAAACGACGATATTTGTCGACAAATTTTGCAACTGGAACGGAGTGGTACACATTAATGATTGCTATTGGACTTTTATCAGTGTATCTCATTAATTTTGTCGGCTTGTGGACTTTCACTTATGGATTGCTGTTTGAATAGACACATGCTGGTTTTTCCTTTTGGTGACAATAGCCAGTAACACGTTATCTTATAACGTCATTATGTGGACTGGTGCAAAAAACTTCATTATGTCGATTATCTTACTAAAACAATGACCAAGCAAATTACATAGATGACATGTCCACGGTCCATCCACTCCCCATACATAAACACACAACCTAATGTACAGGAAAATATTTTGTGAATATGTGCATTTTTCATTGTAAAAAGTGTATTTGGAAGAAAAATGCACGATTTAATCACTGTTGATTCAAAATAATTTCAGAGGTCTGACACTTATATAGAATGGATTCGAAAAATAATTTACGCTAATACAAAGTTCTCAAGCCGCCACTGTAATTCAAATTGGTTTCTTTTAAAAACGACGAAATAAACACAGATAATTTCAAATCATCTAAAATCACCTACATTCTAGACTAAATTCCAAGTGAGAGAAAAACACTGTTATCATTTCTCTAATGCGATTTAGTAGAAAAAATTGGATGATTTATGTCAATAATACTTTTTTTTTAGTTCTCAACACAAGTGCATCATTAAATAAACATACGATTGCATGTTATTTTAAGGCTATAGCGCCCCCCCCCCCCTCCCCACCCCGCCGACTTCCGGGGGTGTTTAAATTGAGTCAAAATTCGTGATAAAGTCTTTTTTCACCTTCATTTTGGTCGACAACGTCGTGAATAGTCAGAGTTATGGAAATATAATTGCGAAATGATTCATGAGAAGGTCATAATCTGTCTGGAAAGATCGGAGATGTATATAAGGAGAGAAGTTGATAGGAACAAGACATGACACAAAGATTGAATTTCAGATCTTGTTTTATATTTCTAAAGTGACAAAACACATGCTGCTGGAAAATCTTTTGAATACCTTTACACCAATTCTTATTGAATTAGATTTTCCTTTTCAGCACATTTAATGTACATTATGTTTTTAACGTTGTGGGGAAAGAATTAAGACTACGTTTTCAAGTTATAATTCATTCATTTCCGATAGGGGTAGAATTGGCACAGACAGGGTGCTAGCGAACGCCCTTTTTCTTGTAAAATTTTCGTTAATAAAAAGGGAAATAGGCCCGCAGCAGCAAATTCTATGCAATGAAATCGAATGATCACAATTTTTTTTAAACTTTATAACGTTCACAAGTCTGTTAGTTAAGTGGAGGGCAATATCTATTTAATATTACAAAACAGCAGTCTCTATCAAATACTCAAGCTCATTTTTAAACGAAGTCAAGGTCCATCTCACAGAGACCTTCTGCAAATGTTGCAAAAGTTTAAATCATCTGAGACATAGTGAAAATAGATAATGGTATTGAGTTGCATCCAAATTGGTAATAACTAAATCCTTTTTTTACAAAATCGTGAGCATCGAGAACAGAAATAATTCGAGATCTCACGTACATATATATATACACAGTTCCGTGAAAAAACGATCAATACTGTAGTTTTTAGTCCGTTTACCACATTGACGCTTAATATTGCCAAGGGCTTTAAAATCGTAGCCTCTAATGCGCTTTAAAGCTAATTATACCTCATTGTCAAATCAAGGGTAACACCTCAGAGCCATTCTTTAAAAACGAGTGATACCAAGAAATATGAATTAAACTGTAGTGTCCATCGCGACTGTAGGAAAGTGTGGACAGATGAAAAGGATAGAACACATGTACATTTATTTCATAATGTTGGTATGATAGTGATGAGCTTTAGAATTAAGTTATATCCCTTAAACTTTTCGGTTTTATTCGCAAACTAGAATCATCGGTTAATCCCTTGGTGTGCAGATTTTAAATATCATAACGGGTCTATACTTAAAATGATTGCAGATAGAAAAAAATATATCTTCAATACTGATCAAACCCAGTTTATATTTACAAATATCAATGCAAAAATATGGATATTTAGATATCTTTCCAAACTGCGTCATGTCTAAACTAATTACCTTTGCTTTATGTCCATCACCTGTAAATTGACGACTTTATCTGAGAGTAGAATAAATACTATCACGTTGTTCGGATGTAAAAAGATAAATACCAACCAAAATAAAGTAGCTCAACAAATTAATGTTGTATTAGATTTATTTGCTAATCATTTATAAATCTGTTCGTTGTAAATTAGACAAAATTAATATCACAAAATCACTCAAAATAAACTCCATAAACGGTGGCTATAACTATGATAGATTTGTTCCTGTACGTAACACAACAGAAATTATCAGTTTTATCATCCCATACACATCTACTAGCAGATTCCATGCCTTGATCAGAACTCTGTCCTAACATGACATTACAAACGATCTTATATCTATCAAACATTAACAATTTTACTCGCGATTTAATCATTTCGGTTAGGTTTTCTGTGAGTGTACCCGCCGTATTTGCTTTATATGTAACATCTTGTAAATTAGAATTGAGGACATCTGTAATAGCACGATGTACCCGAGATGTCACGAAGCCCTTGCCTTCATCTGGATTCAGTTTATAAGTGTTCTCAAGCTTTATTTTAGGTTTCTGGGGTACATCTACAGACGATTTAGTGAGTCTGCGCAATGCTATTGAATTGGTAATACTTTGTGCTAGGCCCTTAAATGTTGAACGCCGTCGAAAAAGACTTGCCATTTCCATTTTAGGGGCTGTGCCTTCTTCATCTTGGTTTTTGCTGAAAGCATTAGCTGCTATGGAAACTTTTCTTGGTGACCTTGGTGGTAGTGTTATGGTGTCGGCACCTTTACTAGCTGTCTGTTCATCATTTCCATTGGTCATTCTGCTGTCTACAAATATAACAAAAGGAATCTGCTAATTATCTAGATTGAGAAATAACCATCTTCACAATGTCAAGGTATTGCGAATTTCAGTAAATATTTTTAACATCTTAGGCATTTTCTTGTATCACGAAAGTAAGTTTATGATTTGAATGCAACGAATTAGATTCCTTAACAGAAAGACTGAAATAATATGGCTGCATGAATAACCAGAATAAATAGGTTTCGTCTGCGTTGTGAACTTATGTTTTGATTATAAGAAAATATATAAGTTCCATAACAATAGCCTATCCATAAAATGTCTTATGATGTCAAGTTATTAGACGGAGTTGGTTAAACCTTGGCATTGTGAGGATGGGAAATGACAGGTTTTTGTACTGCTTCAGGTACATAGCCTAACTGTAACACGACACACTACGATCAACTGAAGTTAATCGATCAAAACATTAGGCCTACCAACAACTCCAGGACAGTGGTAGGCTACAAATGCAGTTATCTCTCGAATTTTAACCTAGCAATTATTTAGCTTATCAATCATAAGTGGGTAAGTATTTCATAATGCACCAGGTGTCTAGAGGAGTAAGCATAGGGCCTACCCGCCACATCCGTCATTGGTAGGCCTACTCAATATACTGCAGCTTTTCTACTGGGGTGGGGGCATGGCATGGCATAGCATCCCAGAAAAGGGACTGGCCCAGACTTATACGGCTTTGCACCAAATATTTCCTACAAACACAAATGTTAATTGACACAACAAACACGACTAGCCTAGGAAGGCAAAAACCTAAAAAAAAAATGACTATACTAACCATTAATTTTGGTAAGTTAAGGGAGGTACCTGATGAAAATATTGTATTAAATGTTAACAGTTCAAGGGAGGGAACTCATCGCGAAATATATGTTATGTTAAGAAAAAATGTTAAAAACACCCACAACATTGAGGAAGTATTTTACAATGAAAGTGGTATCAACTGCCCAGAGACGTTAACCATATCCTGCCTCAAACTACACACGCCATTGATGTAACAACACAACACTTATCTTCAGCAAACACGTTTTTGCACATTGAAGAAGAGATTTAGGTGTAATATATTCTTATGAAACGTAATAAGAAGATTGTCGTTTACACATACAACATATTAAATATACCTCTTCGTTATTCGTGAACTGTATGAAATTTCATTAAGTCTTCGACCTAGAGAATAGATTCAGGTAGAACATTTACTAATGAATAAGATGTATGTTAGATGTACATACAACCTAAATATGCCTCAAGAACTACAAGGTCAAGAGAGAAATACGTTTTGAAACATTGAAGAATAGATTTAGGCGGGCTTCAACCCCAATACTATGCCTATGTGGTATTCAAGAACTCTCATGTAGAAAGTGTCCCTTACCTTTTTGGTAGTTTTGGTAGTTATATAGTAATATTTTCAAGAGCCTTTGTTAGCTATCAGAGACGGTGAGGCAATAAATGAATATATTTTATGATTTATGTCCCGATTAGACCAATTAAACGGAGATACTACTTAGCAACCTTGTTAATCCATAGTTTCATTAATTATATTTATAGATATTAACTCCAGCAATTAAAGGGTGATAATCTGAGAGATTAACTCTTTAATCTGTCAATCTTAATCGACTTCCATAAGAGATTAGAGTTTATGGTTTATATAGACTTACGGTCACTTCGAACCCGTAGTTGTTCCAATAAATGCTGTGCACGTCCTACTACGATTCCAAATAGACCCAAAGTCCGGTTGCGCCTACAATCTAATAGAAATTTTGACACAGCCTCAATATTTCAGTAAACGAAGCTTTATGATTGTATTATACGGATTGTTTCCATGTATAATAATTATCTTATTTTAAAAAGCAATAATGTTTACAGCCTTTCTGTCGAGGGCTCTGATTGGCTGTATTTGATGACGTACAATCCAATCAAATCGTTGCATTCCGTGGTACAAAAAAGTGGCTATTTCAGTCAAGATATAAGTACGGAATTCGTAACAGCTCGACATGTATCTTGGATAGACCTAATTTTCTTACCTTAAAGTTCAATTTCATAGACCACCAAGGGCTTGTATTTTCACGTCTCAATTAAATCACCATGAAAGAGAGTGTTTTGCAATGGGGGTTCTTCTGTAACGCACATGACCTTCTCTAATAGGATCATGGGTCATATTCTTTGCAATTCTTTAATTGCATCTCGTTGCAGAAATAGTATGCAGTCATTTTGGGCACAAATATTTTAGGCTGCACAAATCATTAAGAAACTAGAAACAGTACTTTAGGCACACTATTAGTTAATACTCGGTCTGTTAGGGTTTGGGCACTTGAGAGGGGCCATAAAGAATGCGCCTTAATCGCTGTGCCAAAAAAACTGTACCGAAATGACTTGTGCCTAACTGACAGATTGCCTAAAATCTGTGCCTAATGCCCTCATAATGCTTAAAAAATTGTGACTAAATGACAGTGATTCGCTGAAATATGCCAAATATTATCAAGAAATACACAATTGAAATGAAATCCAAATGGAGTTTAAAATTTCTCATGTAGTGAAGTTCTGATTGCAGAAAGAACACCCGCACTATGTCTTTTTAACCTGTTGAGTTAAAATGAAGGACAACTTTGAGTACATACGACATACATCAACTTATTTCCTTTGTCCGCCTCTCAAAGTTGCCAGTTTTCCCCCATTTAAACAAGCAAAAAGGAGAATTTATTTTATTATCGACGTGTAAATAGTACAAAAAGACAAGATAATGACAAGGTAGGCGTATGTTTCGAAAAATGTTTTTACACTACAATCAATTCACTGTCAATTTCAGTCGAATCTGAGTCATTATCATCTAAACTAGAATCTAATGTGGAACTATCAGCTTCTACTTCACTACTTATAACATCTTCATGTGGGTGACGCGATTTCACATGTCTTTCCAGATCACGCCTTCTTACCAAAACTTTACCACAAAACTGACATTTATAAGGCGTTTCACCTTCTGCGTGAAGTCTGACATGTTTATTTAAATTACTAGGATCACCAAATGGTCTAAGGCAAACTTTACACTTTAATGGTTTGTAACCAGTATGTGTTCTCAGGTGAATTTTTAATCCATATTTTCGAGAATAAAGCTTCCCACAATAGATACACAGATGACCTCGCCGAGAAGTACTGGTATATAACGATTTTGGAAGGAGATCTAACGGTTCACCCTGTTTCTCTGATGGTAACGGGAAATTATAACTAGATGCTAGTTGTTGATGATGATGATGATGATGATGAGTTGGAAGATTTGTAGACGCTGTTGATGATACTGGTGATGAGGACGATGGTGGTGTATATCTACTGGTACAAGATGATATGAAGGGTCTGTCCATAAAAGGATGTACTGCTGGAAGTTGACTGCAACATGATCTTGAATATTGAGATAATACGGGATGATAGAGAGAGAATGGTGAGCTGTTCATTGTTATTGGAAAGGCAGGAGTGTGAATATGATTAAAGATTTGAATCGGTTGATGTAAGTTTGCTGGTTGCTGTGATGCTGTAGTATGGACCATGCCTCTTTTGGTTAAGTTTAAAGCTTGTTCGGACGGTTGCTGAGTTCGGGACATGGGATCAATTTGTGCATCTTGTAATTTATGAAGAACCGGGGTAGTAGACTTAAAAATAGGTTCTGTTCTAGGCGGAATATGAGAAAATCCCGAAAGTGGATAAAACTCATTTCTCATCCACATTCTTTTTTCCTTATCTTCTTCTGACGAGGAAGTAACGACTTCTTCTTTTCGACACCAATATCGAATGTGTGCTTTTAATGAATTGGGGAATTTGAAAACTTTCTGACACACTGTACATGTATATTCTTGGTATCCTGAAATAAAGGAATAACTATAATTGTAAAGAGAAGAAGATTTAAATGGCCGCAGAATACATGCTTCAGTAGTAAATTAAACTAATTCATTTGTTATTCGAATTCAAAATTGGACGTAACTTTTCAATAAAATTTATTACACTTGGCTATCTTATGATAATATGCATAGGCACATAACTCAAGTTTCTACAAGTAAAGGTCATTAAGTGAACAAGAGTTCACCGAATCCAAATTTACTTCATAGCCTAACATTTTGAAATTTAAATTAGGTCTACTCTGGTTGAATCAAGCAAGGTCAATCTCAAAGCAAATCATGGAAAAATCATGATAGGCAAAGCAACATCCGACCATTTTCATAAAGATCTATCATTTATGATCGACATATAGATCGACTTCCACATATGAAATACTACTGACAAACTGTCGTAGGAAGAAGGGAAATTGTTGATTTAAAGGAGGTAACTTGTGAAAAAATATTATTTTACATAATATATGTTTAATTAGATCAAGGGAGATAATTAAAAGCAAAATTCTAATGTAAAATAGAGGTCAATTCTTAACTTGTATGTTTATAAAAAAAAATTGATCGACTTTACACAATATATTTTTTATATAAAAATATATGAATTGTAAAATTAAAAAGCGCATATTATTTACTCTTAATTAAATTATGTGTATTTTTGGGCACATAATGTGACCAGGAAAACAAAAAATTAACAAAACGGGACGGTTAATTCTAAAATTATCACATATATCAAGTTCTATACAGATTGCCAATTCATTGCCCAGTTCAGCACATATTCGTGCCAAGTAATGTCCAATTTGTTACAGCTTAATTGGTGCACAATTCAGCACATATTCGTGCCAAGTTAATGTCCAATTCATTACAGAGTAATTGGTGACCCTTTCAGCACATATTCGTGCCAAGTCATGTCCAATTTATAGCAGATTAATTGGTGCCCAGTTCAGCCCAGATTCGTGCCAAGTATTGTCCAAATCATTACAGATTAATTGGTGCCCAGTTTAGCCCAGATTTGTGCAAAATAATGTCAGTTCAATACGGATTTTATTGGTGCCAGTTCATCACAGATTCGTGCCTAGTAAAGTCCAGTTCATCACAGATTTGTGCCTAGTAACGCCCAGTTCATCACAGATTCGTGCCTAGTAACGTCCAGTTCATCAACATTCGTGCCTAGTAACGTCCAGTTCATCACAGATTTGTGCCTAGTAACGCCCGGTTCATCACAGATTCGTGCCTAGTATCGTCCAGTTCATCATAGATTCGTGCATAGTAACGTCCAGTTCATCACAGATTCGTGCCTAGTAACGCCCGGTTCATCACAGATTCGTACCTAGTAACGCCCGGTTCATCACAGATTCGTGCCTAGTAACGTCCAGTTCATCAACATTTGTGCCTAGTAACGTCCAGTTCAGTACATATTCGTGCCAACTTATGCCCAATTAGTTACACACATTATTGGTTCCCAGTTCAGCACAGATTCGTGCCGAGTAATGTCAAGTTCAGCACAGATTGTGCCATGTAATGTCAAGTTTATCACAGGTTAATTGGTTCCCAGTGATTTCCAGTTGATCACAGATTTGTGCCAAATAAAAGTAACCTACCTCTGATATTTTCAGGTTTTAATATTGGTATATCTCTATATCTGGCTAAAGTATCATGGAACCAGACCAATAATTGTTCTCCACATTTCACACCCCGAATAAATCTCAGACAAACTTCTTCTTTTTCATCCATAAAAGCTTCAACATTTTGTTCATGACGGTCACGTGCCGGCTGTATGTAGATCATCCATTGGTTGGAGTGGTCACCGTCCATCACTACTTGACCATCTTTCCATTGTACCTGATATAATTAAAATAACCATTAGACAAAATGTAAAAAATCTTTATTTTAAGATCTTAAAGAGATGTAATTTGACTGAAACAAGCTTCTCCAGGCCTTCCTGAATTTCAGTACTGCCCGAACAGTCACCCATTGCCTATCAGTGAAACCAGATGAGATGACTATAACTACTAACAACCTGACAGAAAATAAAACGACATCATGAATTATAAAAATATAATATCATTAATCAAATGAACTAAATATTTATTTCAGATCAAGTATATTTCTATCACTCAAAACAAAAGTTATATCAATCAATGAAATTCTAGACGACCATGGCAGACGACTTCTACCAAGCACTCGGCTGTCAAATTATTCGTTTGTGTGACTAATATTTCACATATGAAAAATGTATTATGGATTTGTCGTAATCACATGTGGGATAACATGTTTGTTTCAGGATTACCTACAGATTTCTGGAGCGTTTACTATCGAAGAAAGGCTATATCAAATATAGTACCGGGCCCTCCATGTCGCTAGTCACGGCCTATGCATGAGATAAGAAAGAAACCTTGGCAAAAGCACGATGTTTGTATGTGTACTATTAAGTCATAGATAACTTATAATTCATGATTTTAGTATGATGAACAATTTATAGCATACTTTATCAAATATGAATAATGGAGCTAGTTAAAGTAAAACCATGCAAATTATAAGTCAGCAATCGCAAGTAATTTTAAGAAGCTATGACAAAAGTGATTTTTGTAAAGGTTGTGTACAAAATTGGATGAGATACTCGAATGATCAGTGACTCAAAAAGTCAATATTTTAATCTCTTTGTCGGTCAGCTTCAAAAAATGAACAATAGTATACAGTAGTACACTAACTACAATTGGATCCATCGTCTTATTGACTATATTTCTAAACAAAAGTATTTGAATTTATGTTCCTTGTTACTGTTGGTATATCAAGTAAATAAAAACTAGACTGTTGGAGCTCTTCAATATACAGTGATGATACATCACACATTGCCGCTTTAAGTTGAACAATTGGAGACACGAGCAGTAAGATATCAACTTGTTAAGAATGTTCTTATACCTACTTTAAACTTGTTGAATTTAATGACTTTGGCCCTTGATCCCTTTATATTGACGAATGAATTGAGACACGCGTTACGTGTCAATATTAAACTGATAGTTGTTCGGGAGACTTTATAAAAAGTATTTTGAAGGGGTGTTTTAAGAAGTAACAATAAGGAGATAAAGTAAGTGTTCCGTCTGTTATTGTATTTACTGGCGAGATATGGTCGGAACATCAAAACCATTTATAAACGAATATTAAAACCATGTGATAGTTATAGAAAGAATTTTCCAATTTTGAAATTACAGATTTCATTTTAACTGAAAAAACAACTATTTTCTGGAGGCTTAAATAAGTTTAAGTTTAAGTTAAAATGACGACTCGTCTTTTTTTTTAGACTCTGTCATATTATAGAAAATACATAATAGAAAAAAAGTGGAATTCCTAATACAGGGTATTTTTGAAGGAATTATGCGGTTTTCGTACATTTCTAGACTATCAACATATATTAAACAAGCAAATCAACCTCGGAAAATGGCTAACCTGTCGCTCTGACAGTGACGTTCTGAATGCCGGAAAGTTGCACTGGTTGCACAGTCAAAGCCGTAGCAGTTTGGGCTATCACAATGAATAAAAAGCTGTCGTCTGGAATAGACAGAATATTACGCTATAATAATAATCTAATACTCTTTATTAGGGACGTACAATAGTGAATATTTGGAAGAAAGTTCTAACAATAAGTTACAGCCACTTCAGCGGACTACAATTCCAATTCTAATCGGATTAATTTCTTATGAGCATGATCAAACCGTAATATTATATATATAATTGGTGATTAATCTCATATATAATGATATTAACATTTAATATTGTTTCATAATACTTTCGAAGTCGAAGTTTCCTCTTTTTTCTTTAGATTTTTTTTTCTTTTGGTCTTTTTTTCTTTCAATAGGGTCAAAAATTGACTTGAAAGAGAGAACGATGAAGTCGGCACTTTTAATTTGTATAAAAAATATATGGAGACTAATAATATACTCTATAATGAAAAAAAAGTTTATATGTTGATGAGAGTATCAATTGATAAGGCCTATATATTTATCAAAATGCAAAAAAAAAAAATCAACTTGCTTGAGTAGATATAAAAAAAGACTTAATGAAATGCCTTGTCTTCACTCCAATTCAAGTTATGTATTTACTTTTTCAAAAACTTTTTAAATTTTTTTAATTGACTACTGTTTCATTTCTTGTTTTTCAAGCAGTATGCTACAATGTATTTTCAAAAATTCTATATAATAATTCCTTAGATACAATGGGTTTATGGTAACGTTCCTTTAGCAAGATTAGCAACGGTAAGACGATTATTCACATCTAAGTAGATGAACTAAAGGAACATGGTGTATGATAGGCTTCAGTATGTGTGGACTAAGGCAAATTTCAACAAATTTCAAATGACACACTGCCTAAGGTGCTGGCTAAATTTTCTACGATTTATAGATTATTTGAAAACTTTACCATTATGAATATTTATGTCTCTATCTGTATCGCTATGGAAGACAGTTTTAAAAATTCCTGAAAGTGTCAAGCAATGTATTAAATGGTTGAGGTTGCGCTTCCTTATTTTATTATGTTTATAGCAATGTTTTAGATTAGTTTCAAAATCCATCATATTTTGCAACACACATCAAACGATGATCAATTTCGTTTCTCTATGTTCTGATATTCATCTCTATTGCAATCCAACAAGTTTTCTACCCCAGTCACGTTCTATTAGACGTTATTTTTAACAAACGAAATTGTAATTTTATTTTGATAGAAGTGTCTTTATAGACAAGATTTGTTCAGTCTTGAATCCAAAATAAATATACGATCAGCTATTATACATATAAAAGTCGAATTAATTTTAGCTCAAGAAAAAATCAAATTCACTGCCACCCCCGTCTCTCCTGCAATAATTGTTTTTTTTTTATTACGCAAAAGTAGACATTATTAAAATAGAATTTTCACTTTCAAAAGAATTATGAAAGAAAATCTTTTTTTAAATTTGGACATATTATAAATTGGAAAGACCATTAAAAAAGATGAAATGTTTCAATCAACAAGCCACCATACAAAACCTTCATAATTGTCGGCGCACTTTGAAGAGTTCTGTAATATTCATGATGTGCCTCTAAGACACGCGACCCCTACTTGAAGAAACAATTCACACGATTTTGTCTTGGAAAATGTGACAATGCGTAATGATAAAGTAGAAAAACACTCGGTGAATTTCCACGGAAAGAAAGCAACATGTTTCACTTTTTTTCTAAACAAATAATTGTACATTTATTTTATTTATTCTTTACCAAGAAAAGAACCTGTGCAATAAAAGATTCCATAAATCAACTGTTCGATACACTCTTTTTGATACAAATGCATTAAATTCATACGACTTTCAAATACAAGCTAAACATCATTCAGTAATATTCATTAACTTCTCACAATCCAGGCGTCTTGACAGCAAAACACTTTAAGGGTCTCTTTTTAAAAAAGAAAAAATCAAACAGCAATATATTGTTTGAATTTCTGGATTTTTTGGAAAAAACTCGAATGTACTTAATTTTTTTAATACATGTAATTGAAAAATAACAGCCAACGTTAGGTTTAGTTCTGAAAAAAAAAATCTCACGGTCATTCTTTGATTCTTCCAAAACTTCAGTTACAAAGTTCTTTGAAGAAAATTCCTAATGTCTCTTGCCTTTCGAATTATTAAAAGAGAAAGTTGTGGAAAGGTCTTATTCAGTCAAAAATAACATCACATGTCATCAAGTGACACAATATCAAAACCATCATATCAAATAGAATTTCACTTTCTTAAATGAATGAATAATAATGTAACTTCCTTAAGTGATAAATAACAGGATACAATTATATATGGATAACAATTACTTACAATTACTGCAAAGTTTGTACAGGTTGTTGACATTACTTCAAAACTCTTAACATGTGTCATGAAAATTTCAAATTTGCTGTCACGATTTAAACATTAGTTTACTGGTAATTGAATTACTGGCTGGCAAAAACCCAAATACTTTGGATAAAAAGGCCGACCGTAATGAAAAATGAATATACACAAAAATAACAAAAAGAATATATTTTATCGTAATTTCAAAGAAATTTTCTTAAATATTACTGAATTGTGTAATTTCCCATAAGTAAGAAAGATTTGTTAAAATTTTATTATGACCTTTGATAGATGTAAATCATTTACAAGGTCAGTTTTATCGATTCTTAATAAAGTACATGAGAATGTCTTACAAAAATTAAAGGAATATTACCTTTTAAAATAAAAATAATTTTTTTTTTCTCAAACTTGACCAAAGAGGGTTATTTATTTATCAGTAGACTAACTTGGTTGCATAACGATACAAAAGGATCCCTGTATAATCCGATAAATCCATACAATTAAGCAATGATTGAAAACGGTTAAATTTTTGAAATAACTACTGGTAGTGTTATGGATAGTTGGCCTATATTTAGTTTTATGGATTTATACAGGGATTCTGTTGTAAAGTTATAATACCAGGTAAGTCAACTGATGAACATAGACTCGTTTTGGCCAAGATTAAGTATTAAAATTCTTTGGTCATCCTACGAGGTGGTATACCTTTAATAAATTGAATAAATTATCATAATTTAAAAACAAAATCCCAAGCTTACCTCTAATATACATGATATAGATATAATATCTTGTGTATGATAACCAATATCAATATATTTAGGATAGGGTCCAACTACAGTTTCACTGGGTATATCACTAACTGCTATTACACCTACATCAGATGACGGAGTTGGTGATAAATACCCATTTCCTACTGATGCACCTTTCATCTTTAATTCTGTCCGCTTTCTTTAACCTTCCGGATTTAAAATGA